ACACACACACACACACACACGAACACACACAAATATCATCCAATCCATCAGCCACTCACCCCTACTCCTCTCTCTACCCCCGCATTTCACTATTACAGCAAATAATAATAATGGTAGCAAACCATGGGACGTGACTAGGGATCCGAGGGACGGACGATTACAGAGCACAGCCTCTTATGCCGCGACGGAAATAGAAATAGTTGACAGAGTGGTTTGGTATTGACCAACAAAGCACACAGCCTCCCCTTGTAGTTGTAGCATCTCGTTGGCAGCCCGGCACGGGTATACCTTGAGATGTTGCACTATTCTTTTTGAGGGCTGCTTCTTATGAGGTGAAGACTTTTGAGTGTCTGGAGTCCATATTATAGTTGTCTCTGTAGAGGTTTTTTGTTCTGTCGTTTTGTTTGGGGGTTTAGTGGGGGTTTTTCTTTTTGTTTTATGCGTTTGTTTTCTTTTGTTTTTGTTCTAGTTAAAAACAAGTCTTAGCTTGGTTTTCTTAAGCCCCGGGCAATGATTACACATGTATTAGTTCCGAGTTTCCCTTGCTGAGATTTAAAATATGTCGCTGTAATGGGGAAAACACTATTGTGTCGATGGGAAATGACTATTGTAGGTTAAACAAATAACTAAGTTGGCGGTTTGATACACCACCTTTCATTCGTTGTCCTGAATATTTCTAAATTTCGAGAAAGATTCCACGTAATATTTGGCTCATTATCTGGTGGTCGTTTTGTGCTGTTCTTTGGATGAAATCCGGGCTCATCACATCTGAAGCTTGGAGACCTTCTTGCACAATTCGTTCCAACACTATCATCTATTCAAGACATTGTCCTTCGGTCTCCCTTTGGTGAAGAATTTCCAGGAGAAAACATGCTATCTAGGCCAAGCTATCGATTGTGGAAGCTCTCCTCGGGTTTTTTTCTCCTCATATCGACAGGCGACGGTTTCCTCGCTACATCCTCTCTCTACTCTCTGCGCTGTAATTATTTTATTTAGCCCCAGGCGCGCTCTC